CCAAGCCTGGGCCGCTTACTACGACTTCCAAGCCTGAGCAATTCGGTTCAGCTGACTCCGCACTGTACCGGGTTGCCACGACCGTGGACACAGCTTCCATTCTCAAATTATACATGAGGGTCTCCGAGAAGGAACGGGCTTTGGAAGAGAAGGTACATGGGGTTGCTGTGAGGAACCGGTCGAAGCAGATGCTTCGCTCAGCCGTCGAACGCACCACCGACACACAGGAGATTCAGTGGATTCGTACTATAGAGGAATACGAAGACTCTCAGCACACAATAGCCACCATTCGCCAATCTATTGCGCACATCCAGCGGATGATGGTAATCGAGGGACTTTGGGAAAAGCTACCTGTAGTCCCGGTGGGTACCGCATAGGTACGCGATCCTGTGTTCCGTCCGTCGTCTCATGGGTTGTATTTCGGAATACCTCTCTCACCTGTAAGAGTTCGCAATCGGAAAATAAAAAGGTTGTTTTCCGATCGAAGTGAACCACCTCTCCTTCAAGAAACAATCGTATCTGCGCGCCTCGCAACGTCGGCGGGTTCATTTTATGGGGATTGAATGCAAGAACCCACGTGCCGCTGTTTTCAGACATTCATATTTGTGGGGATTGAATGGAAGAACCCACGTGCGTCGAGTCGTTTATTGTAAGTAGTGTGGTGTCCTGTGTGGGTCTGCTGTGTGTCCATGATACTGCTCATGACTGCGTTGAGTGGGTACCGGTCATGGCTCTGGAATGCAAATGCCCGGCCGTCCGAGGAGAATGTGTTGATTTCGGGGTCTGTGCTCAGACCCCGAACACTTGTCTGTGTGAAATGTTCAACGTCCCCGAGACTGTTAGCTGTTACGATGATGTCTCCTATAGTCTGACGGAACGCGTGCGCAATCAACCCCTGTATGGCTGTCGATGCACAAGCCACGCCGAATGATACCAGGGCCGCCGTTGCAGTCCAGGTGTCTGCTTGGACAGTGTATGGTGACGTCATTCTGTGTGTGCCTTTGAATGGTGTGTATGTTAAATAGGGCATGTGTATGTCCAAGGTATTTGAGAAATGCTGCTGTAGATTGGGGAAAGGATGGATATGGACAAATTGCTTGATGACGACCCTTGCTTCTCGGATCAAGAAACTTCCCATTTTACGCCAGTGGCTGAGAAATATGGTTCACATGGGAGACTCTATCCGAACCGTCCGGTGGCATCGCCACCGCCTGCTTCGTTTGTCTATAACAAGGCAGATGTACATGATGCGCGGCCGGTCGATATGAGCCTGGCATCCTCGTATCTTCCCGGCATTTATGCTATGCTGAAGGTGTTGGTGCTGCTGTCAATGCTGAGTCTCATGCAGAAGCTAGGTATGCATATTGATCAAGCGATCATTGTGTGCGCTGCGTGTCTCTACATTGACAGATGCACCTCATTGCGCTACATATTGGACACCGGTGCATGTGCACTATGTGTCCTGATCTCCGTTTGTGTGAACGCGTCGCGTATTGGTATTTCGGGGGAGCCTGGTCTGGTCAACATGTCGGTATCAGTTGCGTGGGTTGTGTTCTCTGTTTTAATCCTGTGCGATGCACACCAACCGATACTACGCAATGTGCAGATCACTGGGATTGTCCATCTACTAACGAGTTCGTTCTGCGCCGTACATGGATTTTTGAGCCTGGACGTGGAGATTGACGCTGTCGCGTACATTCGGGGGGTGTGCTTCACGGCACTATCGGTTTTGTGGATCTACACGCTCAATCTCCGCGAGCGACGGGCCAACTGCAATGACTCGTTCTCTAGCTGTGTGGATCGGTTCGCAGTGATCCTGGTCGCAGACGCGTATGTGTCGGGTGTGTACATGGCGTTGGCGTGTGTGGTGATCATATGGCGGTACAGGTTGTCTTTTGTGCCTGTGCACGTCGCATCTGTGCCCTCGCAACCTGTTGAAGTGGTGTGCGATTCTGCCACTGTGCGAGGCGCAGACCGGCGCGTCTGGCATGGGGGTGATGTCCGGGTGGATGCACCATTAGAAATCGAGTACCCATACCCTGAAGACATGGACGTTCACGTCGCGTTTCGTTTGGCACAGGAGAACGCTAGAAAAGGCGATCGGGCGAGGTGAATGAGACATCAACCCGAATTGCTAGGATTGCAATTCTTGTAAAAAAATGAAGACGAGCCCAGACGGGGCTGTAGATGTGCGCAAAAAGGTGGTAGAATGCACAAGACTCGAACTTGTAATCTGCGGTTGATAAGACCGTCGCTTTGCCATTAAGCCAGCACTCCTTACCTGTTGCAGGGTTCGAACCCACGACGTCCTGCTCTGGAGAGGTTGTCTATACCAGTAGGCTAAACCTCCTGTCGTGGAGAACCGTGACAATACAAAAGTGACAGGGGTGTATATAGAGTGTTTTGCGACGTTTTATGTAAAGTAGTTTTACAACAACCAGTGCCTCATTTCTACGAGGGGCCCATGATCTTGTCGAAGTCAATGATCGCATGAAGGGGTTTGTGGTCAGACCCGATTGTATGCTTTGTGTTATACTGCAGTAGTTTTGTTTGATCTCCCTTCCATAGTATACGGTCTGTCCACGCAGGCATTCGGACTGTCTGTGCGTCGTAATTGTCTTTGCCCGGCTCGAATTTGTATGTAGGTTTGAAAGCCAACTCGCCTTCTTGGAAGTCTGTCAGGACCTTGTCGTATGTCATTGCATACAGCAATTCGTCATACTCGCGTAGTTTTTCTAAGATGGTGTTATCTGTGTAGTGGTCCCCCCGACTTTCCCGGGCCTTGAGGGTAACAAGTGACACGTTCGGGGTGATACGGAAGTTCAGGTCTCCCATGAAGATGATCTTGGAATGGTCCATTATATGCAGGATTGGGCTTTGTTTCGACTGAATGCCCAGCTGGTTGTTACCAAATGTATTTTTCTCTCTCATCTTGAAGGCCATCATTTTCTGAAGAGTCTTGTAATTCTGGACCCTTTTCTCATACGCAGACCGTTCACCCAATAAGTATTGGCTGTAAGGCACGTGTTTTGTCTCTCCTGCTGCCAGATGTGCAGACACTATGCAGAACGTCTCCTTTCCTATGTTGAAGCGAATACCGACAGCACCCTTGTTTTTCAGTTTGTATTGTCCCAGTGCAACTGTTGAAACAGATATGTTGGATATGTATCGCCCGAAAACCGGGTGTATATAAACAGCAAGCATTGTCCCTCCTATGCTTTGTAGTGCCACTCTTTGAAATTTAATTGTGTCCATGAATGTGTCGAGCGCTTGTTCCCACGATATTGCGTTTGATGTCGGTTCAAATGCCATACTTGCAGCGCCCGGATCTGTCACCTCCTGTAGCGCAATTGCGTACATGCCTACCTGATATCGACTGGGGTCTACGTGGACCATGTCTTTGATTTTGAATGGGGCTTTTGGAGCGCTCACATTCCATGTCCCAGCCCACACAATAAAATGTTTATCTTTATCTGGTGCATTTTCGAACTGAGTCAGGGACTTATCTTTGACCGATTCATCTTCTTTCATGCGTGGCACAATGATGCGACTGTCGAGTATGGTGGTGTCTGTTATGCGTGTAGGCATGTTTTGGGGGGTGTACATGTTGGGTCTCCATAGAGACGAAGTTATACGTGGTTCATGTGACCGTTTGATTTCATGGGGTCGTGGGCCCTCGTCTGAACCCGTTAGTATCATCATTATGCTTTCCGTGAGCCTTTCTACAAGTTCTTTGTCTGTATTTGTATTTACAGTCATGGTAGTTTCACTATCTGAAAACTCTCAAATGCTTAATATACTCGATGTCGAGAGTTTGAGAGGCTCCTTCTGTCCAGCTCCTCAGACTTCTGACGCGATGGCGATGTCTTTTCTGAGGAACACATCGTTGTGGTCGAAGTTGTCGATTGGTAGCACGTAGTTGTTCACAGTCGGGGTGGTCACGATACAGTGCTGCATGTTTACCAAGTACATCTCCAAGTCGTCTAGTATATCAGCCCGTGTTGCGTTGGGGTCATTTCTCAACATGTGGATGTGATCTTGTGTGTCGTTCAAGAGCTGAATCAAGTTACGTGACATGCTATGAAAAATAGACCACTATTGGCGCATGGGCAGGCATGTTCGATAAAAATAATAGTGGCGTGTCCCACTTTTATTGGTTACACTTGCGTCTTATCAATAAACGTGTCTATCTTTAGAACCCTTTTGCCGCCGTCGGCTGCTATCGTGTAGAGACTAGCACCGGGATAACTGGCTGCTTCTTCTACCATTTCGTACTCTCGTCTCGAATGACGCACACAACACCAGATAACTGCCAGAATGGTGAACACTAGTACGACGTTGATAACACCGCTGATGATGAGCCATACCTGGACTCCGCTATGGGTGAAAGCCTTTTCAAACATATCAATGGTAATTGGATCGGTGCTGTTGGCAATGGGATGGATTGAGGTCATTTTTAGAACCTCCCAAAGTTCAGTTATATATGAAAACAGATAAAAACTCTACGGACTTGCGAGCGACATTCCAGCCACAAAATCACTTTTTCGTATTGTCTGACTTCTTTTCAGGAGGGGGTGGGCTGATGAAGCTCTCTGCAGGCATACCCGAAGTCGCTTGCTTTGCCCCAGAGCATAGTTTGGACGCGCCACCGCCGGGTGTACCCTTGCCATAGAGAAGCATTTGTACCACGCGGCGGATTTCGAATGCGTTGAGCGCCCCCTCCACTGAGGCAAGTTTCACAAGGTCGTCCACTGTATCCAGTGAAATTGGGGGCGCCACTTCCAGGAACCATTGGATCGACGGTGTGGTCTCCTTTTTGGATATCCGGCGTCTTCCGGACGCTTCTTCGTTGCTGTTTTCGTCATCGTTGCCATGTCTCGCGTTGCTCTCAGACCCTTCTGATTTGCTCCTGATTCCCATGGGGTAAGCAGCCATCTCCTTGTCGACGGTGTTTCCGTGATATGCGCGCTTGTACACATCTCGAAGCAATCTCTGTATTGTTTGCGCTATATTGTCCATAGACGTGTGAAACTGTGCTGTGCTCGTCCGTGTGCGTTGTGACGACTCGTTTGCGACACCGCGGTTGGTTAGCAGTTCTGCTGGTACCCCTGTGAGCATGGCGATTTCGTGCTTGAAACGCGAGTCGAGGAACGGGATGTCCTCACACGGGGTCAAATGGGGTGCAGGTTCGAGAGAAATATCCATCGGGAGCGTGTACAAGTAGGGCATGTGTGCGGTGGCCTTCTTTGTGAACATCTCCTGGATGTCGTTGTCACGAGAGTGTAGCTGCAACTGCGCTTTTTCGTACGTGAATATGTTGTTCGGGTTTATACCAGCCTCTAGGAATGTTGCCTGGGGGTCTTGCTGGAATGTCTTGCTCTGTTGCTTGGTGATGATATGGGCTTGTGTGTTCCACGCATCTGCGTGAGCCCTGTTAATCATTGCGGTGCGCATGTTCTTGTAGTCTGCGACGACGTGGGAGAGTGGCGACGGATAGCACGAGCGGAGCTGAGAGCCTTGTGAGATGTTCCAGGTGGGTTGTGTCACCTCAAAAATGAAGATATCTGCGCGTTTCGTTGAATGCCCTGCGTGGATGAGTTTGATATCGTACAGTAGTGCCTTACTTGCGTCGTCTCCGTAGTCGCACTCTTTATTAGTCGCATTGTTCTGGATAATAGACCATGTGAATGTGCCTGCGGGGAGAACTTCAGGAACTACGTCTCCAGACCTTATGCTCCTGAAGTGCCATGGGACGAACCCGTACGTAAACATAGCCTTGATCGCGTCTCTGCAGAATGGGATGTAGTGCTCGCGCGTGAATTGCATGAATGCGGGTGCAGCAGGCTGGCCATCTACCAAAAGCTTCATTTCGCCTTGGAGGACCTGTGTCTGGATGATGCGGAACGCGTGTGCAAACGTCGGTTCTTGGTGTACGAGCTCGA